GGCAAAACGATGTCGCACCATACACATAACCCACCGCCAACTGGAAGGATAAACTGAAATAAAAAAGTTGACATTCTCAAGACAAGTACCTTACACACTTACCTTCCTTAAAATCGTCCTCAAACCTTTGCTTCTGTTTGCTTCTAAAACGTGTGGCCTTCGACGATGATAAAAAGAAGGTCAGCAGCATTGCCAAGAACGTCCAGTTTCCCAGGGTGAGGAGAAAGCCAACAATCAGACCTGAAATGCAGCGAGTTTTTTCACCACCTCACAGTTATGCAGCATGAAAATAACTCTTGCAACTGTAAATGCATCCTTATCCACGAACAATGAGGATAAACAGCTAGGAGTATATGTAGCGTAAAGGTCTTTGCTCGCACCCTTATCCATCCGCCTAGGGAATACTATTTCAATTCAACTGATATTTTGCCCCCGACCATTTTGGCAGACAGGGCAGCGGACAGATATTTCTCGTGGCGTACAAAGCGGCGCACGTGTGCCACGCTGACCACCTCTGGTCAGATGACAGCTGACCATCTTTGATCAAATGACAGGTGACCGCCTCTGGCCAGATGGCAGCTGACCGCCTCTGGTCAGATGGCAGCCGTCTGCCTCTGGTCAGATGGCAGCCGACTACCTCTGGTCAGATGGCAGCCGTCTGTCTCTGGTCAGATGGCGTCAAATGACAAATAGTCAACACCATGCAGTGGTAGCACATCGCCAGGCTGGTTGTAGGAGCAGTCGTGCATCACATGACTCGTGGCCGACGGCCTCAGGCCACAGGTTCAGGTGCTGCTTGATGCATAAACCAAAAGCAAGCAAGATACTCGTTGGATCCTATCGTTGCATCAGTATGCCTTTACAGTTTGCCATTGCTGGTCACTGTAACTTCATTTCATAGGAAGTGTGACTGCGGCTATCAGCTTCAGGAATGTATCCCAGTCTGTACAGGTTGTCGCCGACAAAAAACGGTAAACACGCCATTTTCAGCTGGCTGAAAATGGCGTGTTTACCGGTTTTTGTCGGTGACAACCTGTACCGACTGGGATACAATGTGCAATATGCACGGCATGGTCCAGCAAACAAGGCACAACGTGACCAAAAACATTTCAGTAAGCATATGACAGCTGTGCATATCCGCCAAAAATACGCTAAGTACCCTCAAGTCCTTCTCAGGATGAACTGACACGCAAGAAAGGCCGGAGAGAAGTATCAGACCAAAACGTTGAGTAAACAATAACGACACCGGCGAGGACAGTATTCTGAATAATCTTACAACACAATGAAGTACAAGGATTATGTATTTCGATTCGCAGCTAACTTGAAACAGTGTATTGGGAAATGCTTTCTGCCCCTCTCGTCAGCGCAAGGTTTCACCGGTCAGATTTGATGCAAAGCTATTTGTCGTCGTGCGCACACAACTAGTGGATCTTCGACTGAACGCTCACGCAGGGCGGGGCTTTCAGCGCATTAATATCACGTCTTCTTTCACCCTGCTTCAAAAGCAACAACATTTAAAAGTGTTTGGGGGCACTAGCTACGTTTTTGGAATCGTCTACGTGATGACACCTGATCAGTATCACACGCTCGATCACTTCGCCCGTCTCAACGCGCACAAGACGTTATTTTGTTAGCATAAACATTAAACAGACTATCTGCCTGGCTCAACACCCACCTGCTAGTACTCCTGACTTATCCAAACTGCGCTTCTTTAAGCCCCGGTGGGCGATGAAGATCGGTACGATGATGGCGGCGATCCATCTTGGGGCTGAGCACACGTCTGAAACTACAGCTGCCCATCAGCCACCCTGCACATTTTAACAGAGAAGACATCGCAATGGTTGTGCAGCTGGAACCTTTAGCAAACACGGTTTCAGCTAATCATAAATATGTGCATGGGGGAATGTGGCATTTCACGACAAAATAACCGAGCAAATCTCAAATTTACGCCCTCATACTTTCAGAAGATCTGAAATTACATACCAGGGATATTCTCGAGCCCTTAAAGACAGCTGTGCGAGTCCCAGACCTCTCTGGGCAACGATCACCGCATTATAGCCTCGGGTATTTTCGAGAGATTATGCTGCAGGCAAGGAAACTTTTGTAAATTTCAAAATTTCTTTGCAACTTTCACCACGTGACTCCGGTCTTTTTCAAAGAGCTTCCTGTATCAATGATGTCAAAAGTTGCCATTTTAACATGACCCCAATCAACTTTGGTGAAATATGTGAAAGTTGGAAAACAAAAAGATGGTCTCTTATTATAAGCGCCATTGTTGGGGTTCACAAAAGGCGTGTAGACGGCGCTGGGAACGGTACCGCCGTATATCTCCAGAGTGGGGAAACATATCCAGAGGCCGTGAACCACATACAATTCGGTGGGCGATTCTGAGCTCGAAATCTATCAATATGTTTGTGATCTGATGCCAACGTCGAAGCAACATTAGGGATCAAATGCAGGTTAATGCATACACTGTATAATTTACTTCTGCTATCACCATATCGGTGGGACTTGCACAATGAGACAGCTGATGACGTCATCCTTAACATACAAATGAGTCACAGTTACTCTCTTACTTGTTGGTCTAAAAAATAAGGTGACATTGGGTTGCACACAATACATTAAGAAACTGGCACTTCCCCACAGTCACTGCTGTATATCTGATCATACAAAAGACAAGGTCAACACAACAGACATGCTGCTCAACTAGCTCATATTGGAACTTTGAATTTGGAACAGATCCTCCTCACTGAGCACCAATTAATTTGCACAACACAGTGATGTTGGCCAATATTAGAATAACTCTGCAACTAATATGGTGACAGCACATGGGAGCCAAAAGTGGCCTTTAGCCAAACATCATGGCTCTTGACAGCTGAGAATATGTTTCAATACCTGAACACCCATCAGACAAACTGGTCAAACCCATGCTATTTTTATGGCTAATAACAACTAGGTCATCATCCATCTTTGCTCTGAAGGCATCATTTTTGCTCAAATGAAACTTTAAACTTCCTATCCCTGATCTGTAGACAGTCCATGAACCACTGTGGTTGCCACATTCTTGGACAAGGATTAATGTAAATGCTTTGATCCCTTCATTTTGATAGCCATTTACAATGGAATCCCTATACTTAGATGGCCCTTGCAAACTGACCACAGCTCTCCATCTTGCCTTAGTCACCTTTCCTGAGGAAACTAAAGGAATTGTAAGATTCTAATAAACTTTTTGCTGAAAAAACTGTGTCTCCATTTGCATGACATTTTAAGCATTATCAATAAAACCAATAACATTTTTAACAATAACCCACTCAGTGCCACCTACACTCCAAATGCAATACTCTGCACTGTTGGCATTTAGCAGTTGCAGGTTGATACTTGCAAATTATTTGCTATTACTTAATTTGCCACTTGATAGCTGGCAAAACTACTTGTTTACTTTTGTATTTGTTTCCTTGTGAATGTTAATCATATCCATGGTGGGCTCTTAAGAGAAGCCTCTTGACAGAATCAAAATATTGAAAGTAGCACTCAAGTGAACTGTTCTGAGAACCAGGCATGGTGCACATGATGACATGATGCATACATGCTTTTTTAACACAATATGTATGTGAATCCTTTGTTTATATATAATGCATTTGTATAAGTAAAATGAATTTGCAGAGAACATTATACATATATACACACACACACATATATATATATATATATATATATATATATATATATATATATATACCTGACACCTGTAATGGCCTCATTCCTTATAGAAAAAAATAGGAAAATGTAACACATTTACATTTTCTTTTGCTGTGTTTTTCTATGACAAATTAGGCTATTTCTACTATCTTATCTACCATGCACTTGCATACATATGTTAAGTCATACTTTCATGAACACTACACATGCCTCACTTAACAAATTTGCATTGATCACCATATCACATCATCACATGGTTTCTCACATTGATCACTATATCATAACCTCACATGGTTTCTCAAGTCATTTGAAAATTAGTGATCATCAATTTGTCTTTAAAATGATATAAAAGTACTTAAAATATCCTATACCAAGTGAATTATTGAACCAATCTTGACATCTTCCAACATTCCACCTCTGTGAAATTAGCCTTTGGTTATGCCAATGACTTGTGGCCAGTATTGATATTTCATCATTTTCATAACTTGTGAAATCTTCACATTTTTAGCCTCTGTGGAATTGGCCTACAGCTGTGACAATGCCCTGTGGTCAATGTTGATGTTTTCTCTTACCCTCTTATCTCTTAATTTGGCCATTACCCAGGACATTCAAAGAAAATTAAAGAAACCCGACAAATGGCATTGTCAGTTTGTGCCTTAGCGAACTGTTATTGTTTTCTGAGCAGCCATTGTGAGCTTTCACCTCATGTTGAAGTCTATTACCCTGTTTACATGGGCAGCTGTGATTCGAATTGAGCCGGGACCCGTCCTCGATCCGAACTATCCGGCCCATGTTATGATAGGCCCTACGCTATCGCTCTCCGCGCGTTATCCTCACCATTTCCAAACATCCAAAGGCTCACATAGTTGGATATCCAGAATGCAACTGACAGACTCAGAGCAACGCAATACAATAGAAGTATCATAACCATATCACGCAATTGAAGGAAACGAGTAGTGCACGTCCTATAGTCCCAATGCGGTGCCTTCATTGATTGCCCTGATACCCTTGCAAAGTCTTAAGCGCGCTGTAAATGTCTATAAATTATCAGGAGCATTTAGTAAGTTTGGGACATCAACGATGTAAGGAAAGGGCATGAATTTCTTCTATGATAACCCCTGTCTTCTAGAAATTGAGTGGGAAAAAAAGAAAAACCAGTTTTTAATTTATTGGTCGAACAACAATTAGGTTCATGTTCAAAAGTTACACATATTACGCTTATTGACGTGTTCATGATAGCTTGGCAATCGACAGCGAGCGCATCTGCAAGTACCTCGCTGAGTGTGTGCGGGGCGGTGGGCTGTTATCATTTTGGTGTTGTTGGGTGGGTGTATGTCATTAGGGCGAGTTTCATGGCATGCCTCAAGCTCGTTATTATGGGCGCACTGATTATGGTGAACAAAAAATGTTCCGCTTTGTTTGCGAGTGCGTGAGCAGTTGTGAAGGTGTGTGAGTTGAGAACACATCACTTACTGACCTCTCGTTCCCGTAACAGCCCAGATAGGTTCATTACTAGGCTTCTGTCGATCGTAATTCCTCGGCATGTAATGTGTGCCATCAATTTCTCAAAATTTTAACTAAGAATTGACAAATTGTGTTCGGCTTGAGGCATTACTTATCAAATGGTGCTCTGGGAATGTGATCACTGTGTCCTACACCATCTGTGCACCTTGTTGAAAGTGGCAGGTTAGAGTGCTGTGACATTGGCCCCGGACTTTGTGAAAGTGTATGCAGTTGTGATATACTTGCTTCATAGCCATTCCTTTTTGAATTTGTGTAACTCATGCTTTGTTACTTCCTATTTCCCCACACTCATCATTGTTTTGACATTGCAGCATGCTGACAATAAGTCAGTGAAAATTTAATCACATAATATCTGATATTTCTATTTGGAATTGGTATCAAGTACCAGTAAAGAAGAAGTGTTATGATTTGCCATTTACATTCATGATAGTTCCTAAATTTACTCTAAGGAAATGCAGAAGACAGGAACCAGCAAGGAAATGTTCATCATCAAGGCATTGGAGAAAATCCTGCAGGAGCGTGAGACCAAGAAGCCTCATCACTCTCAGCTCAGAAAAGCCTGCCAAGATGCTTTGGGTAAGGTTGCTTCTACTCTGTTCTATATAACTTCTTCAATTGTGGCTTTTGAGATACTTGTCATGCCTTTTAGATCACAGGAGTCATGATTTTAGCTACTTTTAACCATTGCATGGCTTCACAGTTTTTCATGACCAGAACAGATGGGTGAGCTATCACGACAGCTGCCTGCACCTCCCATAGGCTGCTGGGCAGTGTTCCCAGATAATGTCAATCCAGCAAATATAAATGCCAGTGGCATATTTTTGGTATCAAATCAGTAGACAGTAGATGCTCCCAGATTAGTAAAACAATTAGAAACTCAACATATCACATGACCTACCAGGAAGATATAGTCAGAAAATCCATTGGGTGAAAAGTTATGTAGCTGCAATTTTTGCCACTCTAACTTTGTTTATTTTAAGGAAATACTACCTACATCACTGTGCCCCCTTTATGCAGCATCAGCTAATGAAAAGGCCATCTATTTTCTGCTCAAGGCCATGATGCAGTCAGGACTCAACTCTAGCTCCCACATGGAAGTAATTAAGGAAGCACTAATTATGCAGTTCCAAGCTGAAACCTGAAGGCTTTTGCCTCTTGGCTGGTACATCCCCTTCCTGTCATTGTGATGCTTAAGGTTATTAGACTTGGGAAATTGTTTTCAAAACATTGTGATAGGTAAGGTGGATTTGCTTTGGTCTCAGACCAATCAAAATAATGTATGATATGTGCAGCACATCCTTATTTCATCTCAGTTAAGGGTCATTCAATGTCTATGAAAGGCTGCTACCAGTAAAAAATCAATGGTAGAATTTATAGGCTTACTCCCTCTATTTTTCAATCTTCAGGCATTTATTCAAAATAGCTTCATTTAATGAATTTCTAGAATCAGCATGAACACTGGGCAATGCTTGTCATGTGAGCCCTGGCCCCTCCCTCATTTAATTGTTAAATTCTGGGTCAAGAACAGAATATTGTGGTGAAAGGTGAATGCTCCTCAGTACTCAGCATGGTACATCCTATCCTTGGGCATAACCTGAGGTTTAGCACAGCAGCTTCACCCGGTGTAGGTTGTCCCCATCCAGTAGGTAGTAAGAGTGCATAAGGTGATGCAACTCAAGCCCACCCTGCTGTGCATTGGTGAATCAGGAGGCAGGTGCTGTAGCCAACTGAGCTATCAGATGGCAGACATGTGTCACTGCGATGTTTACAGAAAATGAATTGTGGCTGAGGATGATGGACAATCTTAGTGCAGATATAGATGAGCATGGGCATTAATTTTTTGTGGAAGGAAGCTATTCATGTTTGGCAAATGCTGGAATGTATCATCAGAGGGAAGTGGTGTGTTGGTGTCAGGTCTGTCTGGTTGGCCTCTGTTAAAGTGATATGTGCAAGGAATTTCATTTTGTTCTCATTGCAACATGCAGTGCCATAAATGGTGCTTTATTGTTGATAAATGTCTATAGTTTGCTATGTGTGGGTATATTGACATACTAAATGTCAGCTATTGTTTTAAATGTTGTATGCGTTCCCATGGACCTTGGATCCATATCATATTGATCTCGCTCTTGCTCGATTCACCGTAAAACACCTTGGTCCAATGGCATATTGTGGTCGTCACACGCTAACCGAGCTGGGCCGCTCCAGACGAGGCCAAGAAGCAGTGCCAGGCGAACGGCGAGCCGGCCGGCGACGGCAGCTCGGTGCTGCCGCTGCCTAAGCAGGACAGCACCGGCTTCCGCGCCGACAAGTACCTGCTGCCCTTCGAGCTCGCGTGCCAGTCCAAATCGGCCAAGATCATCGTGACAGCACTGGACTGCCTTCAGGTGAGGGCAGGGGAGGGCAGCGGCGGCGGCTGCGGCGCGACACCCATGGCGTGGCCGCACTGACAGTGTAGTGCCAGCTCGCACTGACCAGCACGTGCAAGACGCACGCAGGTTGTGCAGCCAGTGCAGTTTGTGTGTGTGTGTGTGTGTGTGTGTGTGTGTGTGTGTGTGTGTGTGGTGTGTGTGTGTGTGTGTGTGTGTGTGTGTGTGTGTGTGTGTGCGTGCGTGCGTGCGTGCGTGCGTGCGTGCGTGCGTGCGTGCGTGCGTGCGTGCGTGCGTGCGTGCGTGCGTGCGTGCGTGCGTGCGTGCGTGCGTGCGCGTGTGTGAGTGAGCATGTGCTGTAATATCAAAATGCCATAATGACATGAAATTCTGTGCATTATTTGGTGACGATTTTACCTGTGGGGTTTTGAATCACCTCTAGTCGCACTTCTAGTCGTATAAGCGCCTAGCAGGCGGGCAGCTGCGCCCGCCGCGGCGGGGCACCAGCCATCAGACGCTCAGCGATGTAGGATGCCCGAGCTGCCCGCGTCTCCGCCAGAAACTGATCGCGTACGGCCACCTGACGGGGGACGTGCCGGACCTGACGGCGACCACGGCCGGCCAGCGCCAGATCGACCGGATCGTGCAGACCATCTGCGGCTGCTTCACCGGCGCCCATACGGACGAGGAGGTCCAGCTGCAGATACTCAAGGTAGGCCGGTGGCTGTAGCTCGGCAGGGTGGGCGGCTCAAGGTAGGCCGGTGGCCGTTGCTCGGCAGGGTGGGCGGCTCAAGGTAGGCCGGTGGCCGTTGCTCGGCAGGGTGGGCGGCTCAAGGTAGGCCGGTGGCCGTTGCTCGGCAGGGTGGGGCGGCTCAAGGTAGGCCGATGGCCGCTGCTCGGCAGGGTGGGCGGCTCAAGGTAGGCCGGTGGCCGTTGCTCGGCAGGGGTGGGCGGCTCAAGGTAGGCCGGTGGCCGTTGCTCGGCAGGGTGGGCGGCTCAAGGTAGGCCGATGGCCGCTGCTCGGCAGGGTGGGCGGCTCAAGGTAGGCCGGTGGCCGTTGCTCGGCAGGGTGGGCGGCTCAAGGTAGGCCGGTGGCTGTAGCTCGGCAGGGTGGGCGGCTCAAGGTAGGCCGGTGGCTGCAGCTCGGCAGGGTGGGCGGCTCAAGGTAGGCCGGTGGCTGCAGCTCGGCAGGGTGGGGCGGCTCAAGGTAGGCCGGTGGCTGCAGCTCGGCAGGGTGGGCGGCTCAAGGTGGGCCGATGGCCGCTGCCCGGCAGGGTGGGCGGGTCAAGGTGGGCCGGTGGCCGTTGCTCGGCAGGGTGGGCGGCTCAAGGCGGGCCGGCGGCCGCTGCTCGGCAGGGTGGGGCGGCGCAAGGTAGGCCGGTGGCTGAAATACGCTGTCAGCCGGTTTTTTGCCGAATAAGACTGATTAACAGAAACTACTGACAGCAAACTGGCTTTAGCCGCCAAATAGCCAAGTGCAGCAACAGATGCTGTAAAGCCAATTGAATATTGAATAATAGATAATTATCTCCATCGCATTTAAAGCATTTTGTCACTAACCTTTTAGGCGTTGCAACTGCAAATGTTCTGGGTGAGGGGGGGTTCCATCTACCGATAGTCTGGTGGAGCAACAGACATTCAAAGCACTTACAACAGTGTGTGTCTGTAAAATATGCCAGACACATGGTAAGATTTCGTGTAAATGCTGTCAGTGAGTGTGTTCGTCTGATGTCGGACATGTATGTCGTGCGCCTGTCAGTGCCGTCGGACGCTGGGAGCAGGCTGAGTGCGGCTGGTGACACGCCATCTTCTGTTGCAGGCGATCCTGACGGTGCTCACCTCCCAGCACGTGGAGGTCCACGAGGGCACCGTGCTGCAGGCCGTCCGCACCTGCTACAACATCTACCTGGCCAGCAAGAACCTCGTCTACCAAACCACAGCCAAAGCCACTCTCACGCAGGTACTGTGGACCGTCCGGTGTTCGGATGGCACAGATTGTCAGTGAGATCACGTTTATGTCTGTGGGAAACGCGGGGACTTGACCAGTGCAGGTTTGACAGCTTTTTTTTGGGGGGGGGGGGGCTTCCATAGTTATTGACTCAGGTTTCCCTGATTGGTCTTGTTCACGTTTTTATGGAGGCGTCTAGGTCCTGGCTTCGAATTCAGCATCCATAATCTGGTATGCTGCTACAAGATTGTGTTTTACAGTCTGGAGAGCAATAATCCTGCGGCCAATATGGCGGCCTCCGTCCCGTGACCCGACCCGTGATCTGTGTGCTGGAGGTATTTTAGCGCATGTCATCACATTGACATGATACTGCGCAGCTCATTGGTTCTGGTTGGCTGTGCATGCAAGTAATGGCCCTCACAGTTCAGGGCACATGTGGCGCTTTACATGGTCGGAAAGGTCACCTATGGCATCTAGTTATAAAAACAAAACGTCAATCACTAGATCATGTCACGCCTGTCTGTATCGGGTATGTAGCACGCTTCGTTAGAAATGTCAATGGATGGTGCCAGCTGCACCTCTGCCCCACACACCAACGATGTCAGAATGCCCTGCGCGGATGAAGGTTCGCATCGAAGTGGCTACTCCTTGAAGGCCGCGTTTTGTTCCGCCAGCGGCCGTTGGGCGCCTGGTGTCGGACGTCCCGCAGCTGCGATCCGGCTCACCCGTGCCTCCCACGGACAGGTGGTGAACGTGCTGTTTCATGCGGATGGAGAGTCAGGCGGCGGGCCAGGCGGCGGCGGACGGCGCGCCAGACGGGCAGGCCGAGTCGCCGCCGGCGCCGGCGGAGGCGCCCGTCGGCCCGCCGGCCGGGCCCGAGGAGCCGACCGAGCCGGCCGAGCCGGCCGAGGAGACGGACGGCCAGCCGGCGGCCGACGTCAGCGCCGAGGCTGTGGTCCGGCCTCTGCTGGACGAGCTGGTGGATAGCGTGGTCCGCGCGGGTCAGTCGGCCGGTCGGCCAGGCCCGGAGAGGGCCGCCGACGGCGCGGTGTTCGGGTCAGGCCAGTCAGGACTGTGGCCATCACAGAACCCATCAAGGCTGGCTGGGCGTTATGTTCACGTCAGCTCGGTGCTGTGACTAGTGCTAAGCATGGTCATAAGCAGCCGTCACTTCGCAGCATGACAGCTGCCTGTGACCAGCTTCAGCTCTGGTCAGCTCGGAGCTTTTACTTAATCAGCTTAAATGGCGTTCGTACGCACCCGTAGTGTGCAAGTCAAGACGGTGGTTTAACACAGGCAAATTTAAATGTTTTGTTCTATAAAACAAAGCTACTGTGCAGCTGACGCGACAGAGATCACATTCACTTTGCTGTTAATTCACGGATCTTGTACATTGCGAACCAGTTGCAGTGATTTAGTGGATATCCAAAAGCTGCGTTAGATTTGCGAAACACCGTGTGTTGCGTAGGTTGGATAAGACTTTTGACAAAGCGGATTCGGTAGCTGTGAAATCATGTAATATTGTTCGTCTGCTACTGCCAGAGGCGGCGGCTACTGAGACGACGGCCTCTGTGAGCAGTGAGCCGCGAGAGAACGGCTCCGAACGCTCCAGCGGCCCGAACACGCCCAAACTCAACCGGCGACACTCGCAGGTGCGCGCGGTGGGAGATAGCTTGTGATACTCGACCGCCTCTCTCTGAAACAGGACTGATGGCACTGTTGGTACGCCCTGTGGCCAGCAGTGGAAGGGTTTGATCGTGTGTATGCCGCCGGCTTTGAGGTGCAGCGCGGGGATGGCTGGTCTTAACGCGCCGGCCGTTCTGACTGCCTTGCAGCCTTGGTCTCCCCAGAAAAGTTTAACCGCACCTGGTTTTGAACGTCAGGGCGTTTCTGTGTCTGCTTCTCCTAAGCGTGCCGCCACATGAATGAGAATCCTGACCGTGACACCGTCATGAACGCCTGGTGGCAAGTCTTCTTCTCCACGACTATGTGCGCCGCGCGCATGACACGCCTCCTCCCCATCCTTCGGCAGGGCAGCGAAGACGCCAGCGAGAATGACATGATGACGGCCAAGTTCTCGCACATTCTGCAGAAGGACGCCTTCCTCGTGTTTCGCTCGCTCTGCAAGCTGTCCATGAAGCCGCTGCCGGACGGCACGCCCGACCCCAAGTGAGACGCCCGCCCTCCCCCCCCCCCCCCCTCCCCCCGCCCCGCTCCCCTCCCCGGTCCCAGTGAGGGCTAGGCTGGGTGGAGGTCGTTGCGTCAGCAGCTGGTTGGCAGCGATGACCTGCGCTGCGGTGCTCGGTGCGATTGTGTAATGAAGGATGTTAGATTCACAATCTTTTTTCACCTGCTAAATATGTAATATGTGACCAGTTCTAAAAAACGCGAGTTATCAAATGTTTCTTGGACTGGCCTTGCTCCACCTGACTCAGTGACGTGCTAACCCTAGTATCATGCAAACTGTCGTACAATGTGGACCCCTCAGTAAACCTAGTTGTTTGATTGCCATGTCACTCAGCCATTTGGTTGTCGCTTTCACTGTTCAGTTTTACATGTCGTGGATGCTGCTGTTTTTCCTTCAGCTGTGCTGAACAGCTGTTTGCGATGATTTATTTCACCCTGGAAGCAGCACCGAGTGCGTTCCAGAACGTGCGTCTCCACCGAGCTGCCGTCCACCGGACCTGCCTCCGTCTAACGCGTGCCACGCTGTACCTCCACAGGTCACATGAGCTGCGCTCCAAGGTGCTGTCGCTGGAGCTGCTGCTGTCGATCCTGCAGAGCCCGGCCCCCGTCTTCACCACCAACGACATGTTCATCACGGCCATCAAGCAGTACCTGTGCGTGGCGCTGTCCAAGAACGGCGCCTCTTCCGTGCCCGAGGTGTTCCAGCTAAGCCTGGCCATCTTCCTGGCGCTGCTGGCCAACTTCAAGCAGCACCTAAAGAAGCAGATCGAGGTGAGACCGGTACTGGTCACGGAGAACGGGTCGTGTCACGGAGGCGCCTGCGGTGGTATTGTCAGGAGGACAGTTGGATTGAGGGAGATTGCATCATGGTGTGGCTCAGTAGCTGGTATGGGGTGTGGCATGCATTGGAAACAGTGCAATTGAAACCTTTGTCGTGGGAGCTCTCGACTAAACTCCGTTGCTATACACAAAGTTTTGCTGTGGACAAATACATTAATGTAAACGCAGTAATGCAAGCCAGTTTCCAAAGTCTCCACCCACAACAAAGACTAATGCGAGCCGATTTCCAAAGTACTTACCCATTACACAGACTAATGCGAGCCAATTTCCAAAGTACTTACCCATTACATCGGCTAATGCGAGCCAATTTCCAAAGTACTTGTCCATTACACAGGCTAATGGGAGTCAATTTCCGAAGTACCCACCTACTACAGAGACTAATGTGGGCCATTTTCCCAAAGTACCCGCCCATTGCACAGATCGTTTGGTGCGGTGGTGCCAATGGCCAGTTGTTGCGTGGATCGAGACATAACTGAACAATTGTTGCCATCTTGTCACCCATAAATCCAATATTGACAAGTCGCCCCGCTTGTCCTTGGCAGGTGTTCTTCAAAGGCATCTTCCTGAACCTGCTGGAGACGCCCAGCTCGTCGTTCGAGCACAAGTGGATGGTGATCCAGGTGCTGACGCGCATCTGCGCCGACGCTCAGAGCGTGGTCGACATCTACGTCAACTACGACTGCGACTTCGCCGCCGCCAACATCTTCGAGCGGTTGGTCACGGACCTGAGCAAGATGGCGCAAGGCCGCCAGGTGAGGGCGGACGGCGCGCGCGGGGTGACAGCGCTGCGGGCTCGGCTGGCGGGGCGTTAACGACGCGGCGTGGCGCCGTCCTCCGTAGTGTCAGCTGTGTGCGGCAGAGCTTGTGTCTGCACGATGCCTGTCAGCAGACGAGTAGGGCTTACAGCAGACAAGTAGGGCCTACAGCATCTCATACCGCTAGAACCTGCGTTATCGTGATACGTTCCGCCTGAGTCTTCGCACAAAGAATATGTGTGGCAAGGATGACGACTTTTTCGCCGTCAGTAGAAATGCCAAAAAAAAGAAAAATCGATGTGATTCGAATCTGGTGTGGACCACATTGCTGTTGGTTGCCGTAGATAGGGCTCTTGTAGTGTCCAAGGAACTCCGTCTTCGCTCGTATTATGAGGCAAACTCCACCGCCATGCATCGTGCCCCAGTGGCGTCATGTGACGCAGTCGGCTCTCACCCGCCGTGACCTCGCCCCCCCCCCCTCCCCCTCTCTCAGATCGGGCAGGAGCAGCTGGGCGTGACGCTGACGCAGGAGCGCAGTATCCGGCTCAAGGCGCTCGAGTGTCTGGTGGGCCTGCTCAAGTGCATGGTCGAGTGGAGCCGCGAGCTCTACGTCAATCCGCACTCGCAGACCAACCTGGGTGGGTAACGGCCCAGCCCGGGCCGGAGCCGGGGGGCCGCTGCCGGCGGGCCGGTCGTGCCCCAGTCGAGCGGACTGCAGTCGTCGACAGCGGTGCGCGTCAGGAGCGGGCGTTACGGGCCATTTCCTGTGCGTGGGTTAAAGCCGGATGAATGGTCTGGTATGTTGCCTGCTTGGCGTCTACGGTCACTGAAGTTGTCATTCTTGCTGTTCCAACGCCGGTATAGAGAGTGGTGTCTGCGAGGTGGTCGGCGACAGGCCCTCTTGTGATGCTCTCGCCGCGAGTCGGTGACGTGTGGGGACGCATGGCCAGACGCTTCTCGCGGTCCGTTTCTTCACCGTGTGATGTTTTCATCTTGTCACCGAGAGACATTCTGGCGGCGTGGCGTGTTCACGGCGCGCGGTCAGCCGGCGGCGCGCGGTGGTGTGACGGCGCGCGCGTGTTCCAGACACGGACCGGGAGGCGCCGGACGAGCCGGCGTCCACCTCGCTGACCACCTACGGCAGCCAGAGCAGTCTGCCCTCCAGCACGCCGCAGCAGTACGAGTCGCTCAAGCACAAGAAGGAGATCTGGGAACAAGGCATTGACATGTGAGCGTTCCTCCGCTGTTTCACTGGAGTGACTCTTGTGACCTGTTGACTCATCCATTCAGTGATTAGCTCATGCGCCGTCTTGCTTTGAGGCATCCAGGGGCGCGCGCGTTAATGTCGCTGGCTAGCGTCTGCTTGTAAACGTCTTTAGCAGATGCCGCCTCGGATGAATATAACCGTAGCTTTCTAGTTAACCTTGAGAGTTCGATCTCGTACGCCGCGGACCGACTTGTTCTTGTCGGGGCTTCATCTCAACGGCCTCCTCCGCAATATGACCTTTAACCGGCGCTGTTCGAGCGCGTGATAGGTCAGCGATGGTTCGCTCTGTGGCATGCCCGGTACCGGCGTGTGCCGTCACTGCAGCTGTCTCGGCGCCCCCGGCCTGCTCGGCCGTCCGTCCTCCGCCCCTCCTCCCGCCCGGCCGCCCGTCCTCTGACCCGACCCCCCCCCCCCCGCCCGGCCGGCAGGTTCAACCGGAAGCCGAAGCGCGGCCTGGCGTTCCTACAGGAGCAAGGTCTGCTGGAGGCGACGCCCGACTCTGTGGCCGCCTTCTTCCACGACGACCACCGGCTGGACCGGGCCGTGCTGGGCGACTACCTGGGCGACCCAGACCAGCATAACCGGGAGGTGAGTGGGACGGGGAGGAGAATGCTGAGTGGAAACGGTAATCATGTGAAAAGGCTTAGCGTGGCATTGGTGCTCTTCTTTTCATACTTTTGGATGTACCCTGAGATATATAATGCCACTAGATCACCAACGTCCATGTTGAATAATTAGCAGGCATGTGTGCTTCACCAGAGGGCGATCAGTTTCAAAATTGCATAGTCTGACAGGCAGACCGCGCAAACTGCGGTTAGTCGTAGCGAATTACGGACAAGCCAGCGTTGGCAGGGAGATGAACATAGCTCCAGTCGCATTGGGGTGAATCTTTGGGTGGAACATATGTAACACGATGCCTGGCATGCAAAGGTTGTGAATTCACCGACGGAGATGTATATTTTGAAGGAGTATGCGCCATTAACATCGTAGCTAATTTCGTGGTTTTGGGTCCGGGAGTCTGTGATTTGAGTCCTCGTCTGAGAATTCTCTTTGGCGATGCGGCGCCATTTTAGTCTGGCTGGCTTCCGTTGATGAGGTTTGTTAAGCTTTTGGCAGGCTCATCTTCAAAGTTGCGATACCGTGTCATGTATTTGATGAATCTAATATGTTTCTGGTGGAAGGCTGATGCGTGCAGATTATCTTATTTCCGCTTCAAAGTTGTACCTGAGCGTATACTCAATGGCTGGAAGTTGTTTCTTGTGTATGGGTTCGTATCGGCCAAGCATAGCCTAATATGTTAAATTACTAACGGATGTCTGTCTCTGTCTGTCTGTGTACACACACTTGTCTGGCGAGCTGGGTACCTCTGTGTGACGCACCCGGGCGCCTCCGCTCTCCCTGCAGGTGATGTACGCATACGTGGACCGGCTGGACTTCAACGACCGCGACTTTGTGGCGGCGCTGCGCCTCTTCCTGGACGGGTTTCGGCTGCCGGGCGAGGCGCAGAAGATCGATCGGCTCATGGAGAAGTTCGCCAGCAGATACTGCGAGTGCAACCCGAAGTGAGTGGCCGGCCTCGCCTCCTGTCGGTTGGGTATCTTTGAGCTTCGTGTTGTTTGTTGTTCGCATGCTCACAGCTGGTGTTTGTTGTGGGCGAGGCCGCAGGCCAAGCGGGGATATGATATCTAGATATCTTACGTGGACGCTCAATGTCATTACCTGCCAAACCCATTGAAGTAGGATATTGGAATGTCTAGTGTGTGCACGCTAAATGTCATTGCCTGCCAAACCCATTTAAGTGGGATATTGGAATGCTTCGATAAGTCCCATCCGTAGAGGCAACCAAAGGCGACGACTTCTCTCGATCGTGTTAAGGCATCTGCTGCATGGGAATAACAGTCGCGCCTGCTATCGTCTGGCTCGGCCCGTGACCCAAAAGGCATCTGACTAGTGGCTTCTACAGGTCGTTCTGTTTCGGATTTTCACAAAATAAACAGTCAGGCGACCGTCAGTTCCGTCGGCGGCGGCGGCACTTCACGGAGAGTGTTTCAAGTGTATGTGTTATCTGTCCACCTGTTGACATGTGCTTGGTGCTTCCCCGGCCCTGGTGGCGACTAGTGTCGCGACATTGACGTGGTTAACGGGGCGGTCGATACGTGTGCCGACTTACCGCTGTGTTGCCTGGCAATCTGGCTTGCTGTGTGACCGTGCGGCTGGTACTTAGGCCGTGACCTGACACGTCAGCCAGTTTGGGGTCGGACCCTGAGCACTGGCGATAGGTTGAACCCTGACCACCGGCAGCAGGTCGGATCCTGACCAGCGGCATTAGGTCGGACCGTGACCAGCGGCAATAGGTCGGATCCTGACCAGCGGCAATAGGTCGGACACTGACCACCGGCAGTAGGCTTGACCTCGACCATCGACAATAGGTCTGACCCTGACCAGCGACAATAGGTCTGACCCTGACCAGCGGCAATAGGTCTGACCCTGACCAGTGGCAATAGGTCGGATCCTGACCAGCGGCAATAGGTCTGACCCTGACCAGCGGCAATAGGTCGGATCCTGACCAGCGGCAATAGGTCGGACTCTAACCAGCGGCCGATGGCGCCTGTTTGCAGTCAGAACATCTTCGCCAGTGCGGACACGGCCTACGTGCTGGCCTACTCCATCATCATGCTGACCACTGACCTGCACAGCGCTCAGGTCAAGGTGAGCCGTCGCAGAGTATGTGATGAACTCATAAAATGCCTCTGTTAGAGGAGCAGGTCTGTGGATGATCTCTGATAGAGGACCAGCTCTGTGGGTTACCTCTGTTGAAGGAGCAGGTCTGTGGGTGGTCTCTGAAAGAGGAACAGGTCTGTGGGTTACCTCTGTTGAAGGAGCAGGTCCGTTGGTGATGTCTGTTAAGGGAGCTGGTCTGTGGGCGGACAACCGGTTTGGTTTTTTTTCACAACTAGCCATTCTGGCCGAATCAGGTGAGCTTGATTCCTTCGTGACTGGTTAGTAGTTTAGCTGAACCGGTCTGTCCGAATAATTCGTGTCGGTGCGTCATGTACGTTCAATAAATGAAACTTCCTGGTGTGCTTACAAGAACGTTCACCATGTGTCGGAGGGCTGTGACGGGCATTTGCCGCTCGGTCAGTTGTCCTGATGTCACCATGGTGACCGCGCACGCTGTGTCATCCAGCACAAGATGACCAAGGACCAGTACATCAAGATGAACCGCGGCATCAACGACAGCAAGGACCTGCCGGAGGACTACCTGTCACAGATCTACGACGAGATCGCCGGCAACGAGATCAAGATGAAGGTCACCGCCAGTGCCAAGCCCGGAAAACAAGGTAACGCGCTCGCCGCGGTGGGCCGCCCCCCCCCCCCCCCTCCCCCGGGACTCCTCGTCACGCGGCTGCCACACACCGCTGTGTGGCTCGGTTGGGGTCTGTTGTACGTTTTTAGACATTGCGTTGTGGCATAAGCTGAAAGTTTCTTCAACTTGATTATCAGTCCCTCTTCTCAGAGCAGAGTTGCCGAGTTTGGTTCAAGGCTGTGATGTTCCTGGCGCCCATCACACCAGTTCAGCGTGTTGTGGGTTCGCTCCTCTCTTCCATCATGGTTGTCTTTTGCTAGCCATTGTCTCTTACTAACCTCAGTTATTATGGACGCTGTTTGGCACGCAGTGTACAACTACGCAGCAGAGGCGTCCGAATCATGATGTCGCTAGCCCAGTGAAGGACGCTGGGACGCTGTGACCCAGTGATGGAGTACTCAACCTTGTGTCCGTCCCGCCGCCGCAGTCGCCCAGAGTGAGAAGCAGCGGCGCCTCCTCTTCAACCTGGAGATGGAGCAGATGTCGCACGCCGCCAAGTCGCTCATGGAGGCGGCCAGCCACGTGCAGGCGGAGTTCACGTGCGCCACGCACGTGGAGCACGTGCGGCCCATGTTCAAGCTGGCGTGGGCGCCGTTCCTGGCGGCGTTCAGCACGGGGCTGCAGGACTGCGACGACCCGCTGGTGGACGAGCTCTGTCTGGACGGCATCCGCTGTGCCATCCGCATCGCCTGCATCTTCCAGATGAAGGTGCGGAGTGGTGGTCGTGACGCGGCCTCTGCACCCGACGGCGCGGGCGGGCACGGCGGCTGGTGTGTGTCGCAGTGGCGTTCATGACGATCGTGAGGATGTGAATGGGTTGGACGTGCGAGGTCTGGTCGAGACAGAAGGATTGTCTAGGGTGAAAAATATGTGGTGGTTAAGAAGTGTCATATGTTCTCGATGTTGAAGATATTTGTGGAACAGCTGAACGAGCATAATGCAGTGGAGGTGGTTGTCCCACCAGTCACGTTTTCACACGTCAAGAGGAGAACACTGTGGGCCGAGGCTGTGTAAGGGATGCTGAAAGTTCTGGGCGTGTCGCTTGTTTTATCCAATGCCATTTTTGGGAGACTGACGGCGTGAACTAAGAAAAAGTAAGGTGGGCTGCAGACAGTTGTAGGTTCGAGTGAGTTACGCTTCAACTGTGTGAGTGCCACGCCGCCCTGAGGCCTTAAATACCTGGAAAGTGAAAGGTAATAATGCTGGTGACAAGTGAATGAGTACCTCGCGGGAAGAGCATTTTCCCTCCTTCCACACACACTTATTAGATCCACATTAATGCTCGCAGTGCGCTACTGCCACATACGTCGTGTGAGGCTGTTGCGTGAGTGAATACACCACGCCTTCCAGTGTGCTGCATCTGTCCCGCCACGTGTCCGTCTTCACCTGCCATGTCTGCTGCCGTGCCGCCAGCTGGAGCGGGACGCCTACGTGCAGGCGCTGGCTCGCTTCACCCTGCTCACCGCCAACGCGGCCATCACCGAGATGAAGGCCAAGAACATCGACACGATCAAGACGCTGATCTCGGTGGCGCAGACGGACGGCAACTACCTGGGCAGCTCTTGGCTGGACATCCTGCGCTGTATCTCGCAGCTCGAGCTGGCGCAGCTGATCGGCACGGGCGTGCGGCCGCAGCACCAGCACCAGCACCAGCAGGCGCGGGGCCGGGCGCCCGACGGACACCGCTTCCACTTCCTGGAGAGCATCGACTGTGAGTGGCCGGCCCGGACGGTGGTCAGCTGGCGGTGCCAGATGAGCCGCCGCGGCGAGGTGCCGGGTGGATGACGATGGTAGAGATGTGAGGGGTTGCCACGTGGCCGTGTTCGTGCTGCGTGACAGCCTATGCCGGCTTATTTCGTCTCACACGTGTGCTGATCCTTTGCTCTCCCTCGCATTTCTGTAGTCATTAAATCGAGGGTTCCCGCGAGCCCTTGGCCTTCCATCAGCCCTCAGCCGCACCTGTCTCCGTCTCCGGTCAGTCAGGCCTCTCGTGTTCACGTGCAGTGACGCTGGGCGTGTCCAGACCGTACCCGTAACGCTCCACTGCACCGACAGTCACCGGTACAGCCGAGCGACGTATGGCAAGCGTGGTGGAGTCGATGGGCGAGACCAACTCCCAGAGCGTGGTGGTGGCCGTCGACCGTATCTTCACGGGCTCCATACGGCTGGACGGCGACGCTGTGGTCGACTTCGTGGACGCCCTCTGTCACGTACGCCCTCGGCTCCGGTCTCAAGTTTGGTTATGTGTGTGCCGGTTACCTTCGTCAGAGAGACGCAACATTTGAGTTTGACGCCTGGACAGTTGGCGATTTGGCGATAGGTGTTGAGCGGCTCCCATCGACCATCGTCCGGCGCAGGCATCATGACTAGTAGCATGTCCCCACGGTTTGTAGCTGTCAACTTGTCTAGCTTGGAATGAAACTCGAGTATTTTGGTCGCGGTCCGTTAGAGCCAGCCGTGCCATCGGTGAGCAGCCGCGGGTTGCCGAGACCTGCGCACACCGGTGCCGTGTCTGCGCCCCCCGCTGACCACACACCAGTGCCGTGTCTGCGCCACTGCTGACCACATACCGGTGCCGTGGCTCCCCCCCCCCCCCCTCTGACCACACACTAGTGCCGTGTCTGCGCCCCCGCTGACCACACACCAGTGCCGTGTCTGCGCCACTGCTGACCACACACCGGTGCCGTGTCTGTGCCCCCGCTGACCACACACCGGTGCCGTGTCTGCGCCACTGCTGGCCACACACTGGTGCCGTGTCTGCGCCCCCGCTGACCACACACCGGTGCCATGTCCGCGTCCCCGCTGACCGTACACCGGTGCCGTGTCTGCGTCCCTGCTGGACTGCGCATCGGTGCCGTGTCTGCGCCTCTCTTGACCACACACCGGTGCCGTGTCTGCGCCTCTCTTGACCACACACCAGTGCCGTGTCTACGCCACTGCTGACCACATACCGGTGCCGTGTCCGCGCCACTGCTGACCACACATCGGCGCCGTGTCTGCGCCCCTGCTGACCACACATGGGTGCCGTGTCTGCGCCTCTGTTGACCGCACACCGGCGCCGTGTCTGCACCCCATGTGACTACATATCGGTGCCGTGTCTGCGCCCCTGCTGACCACTCACCGGTGTCGTGTCCGCGCCTCTGTTTACCACACACCGGCGCTGTGTCTGCGCCTCTGTTGACCACACACCGGTGCCGTGTCTGCGCCACTGCTGACCGCACACCGGTGCCGTGTCTGCGACTCTGTTGACCACACACCAGCGCCGTGTCTGCGCCCCTGCTGACCACACATCGGTGCCGTGTCTGCGCGTCTGTTGACCACACATCGGTGCCGTGTCTGCGCCTCTGTTGACCACACACCGGTGCCGTGTCTGTGCCCCCGCTGACCACACACCGGTGCCGTGTCTGCGCCCCCCGCTGACCACACACTGATGCCGTGTCTGTGCCCCCGCTGGCCACACACTGGTGCCGTGTCTGCGCCCCCGCTGACCACACACCAGTGCCGTGTCTGCGCCCCCGCTGACCACACACCGGTGCCGTGTCTGTGCCCCCGCTGACCACACACCAGTGCCGTGTCTGTGCCCCCGTTGACCACACACCAGTGCCGTGTCTGCGCCCCCGCTGACCACACACTGGTGCCGTGTCTGTGCCCCCGCTGACCACACACCAGTGCCGTGCCTGCGCCTCTGTTGACCACACACCAGTGCCGTGTCTGTGCCCCCGCTGACCACACACCAGTGCCGTGTCTGCGCCCCGCTGATCACACACCAGTGCCGTGTCTGCAATCGGTGCCGTGTCTGCGCCCCTGCTGACCACACACCGGTGCCGTGTCTGCGCTTCTGCCGACCACACATCGGCGCTGTGTCTCCGTGCGTGTGCCCCTGCTGACCGCGCACGGCCCGCGCAGGTGTCACGAGACGAGCTGGCCCAGGCCCAGCCGCGCATGTTCTCCCTCACCAAGCTGGTAGAGATATCCTACTACAACATGGGCAGGATCCGTCTGCAATGGTCCAGGATCTGGAAGAAACTCGGAGAGCACTTCAACCGCGTAAGGAGCTGAACGGCCCGCTGGGTGATGGGTTAGAGTATCTGGCTCTCCATCAGGCAAGCACATGTGGGCTGAGAAGGCCTTTGCTGATAATCTGTAATGATCATGGCGTAGCTATAAAGTATGTCAGGGCACCGTGGTCTCAGACAGCATATGCAGGATAGCCCTTAACTAAACATGATGGAAGCGGGAGTTCCGTGTCTGCGGCATCGGTATCATGTAGTATGGCCAAGAAGTGTGTTTCTGTCATCGAGATGCCACTGTAATCACGAAATCTGGCTTGATCAAGCGTCAATGAACGCGATGTTATATGCCGTCTGCTGGTGTTTTAGGTGGGATGCAATCCCATGGAAGAGATATCGTTCTTCGCCGTGGACTCCTTGCGGCAGCTGTCCATGAAGTTCATCGAGAAGGGGGAGCTGGCCAACTTCCGGTTCCAGAAGGACTTCTTACGGCCGTTTGAGTACATCATGAAGTCCAACAGGTTCGTGCCGTCGTCTTCGCCCGTGTTATGAGCAGCCTGAGTCTGTGTCGGAAGAGCGTGGCGCCTCAGATGTCTGGGTCCGCTTCAGGACGTGTCCATGTCACCCGAGGCGCCAGGATTGGTCGAATGGTTCCAGGTGGCGACTGAGGCCTCTCGAATCCATACACTGACCTCCATGTTTCTAGGTTTCGCTACAACACGGCGTCATCAGTCGGCGTGCCCAAAACCCTCTGCCGCAGTGCTTTGGGCAAGCCAGCCGCAGAATACTCAACAGCCTTGTTGTCACCGCATTGCCAGTGTGGGGGTAAGGTGACCTCGGTGGTCGACGGATCCCAGATCTCAAGCCCTCGCTTTGTTGGCGCTGGGCGATGAACGCGTGTGGATGACGCTGTCCGGTGGCCGCCGGCAGGTCGCCCACCATCCAGGACATGGTGGTGCGCTGCGTGGCTCAGATGGTCAACTCGCAGGCTCGCAACATCCGCTCCGGCTGGAACAACATCTTCAGCGTGTTCCACCTGGCCGCCTCCGGTCACGACGAGAACGTGGTGGAGCTCTCCTTCCAGACCACCGGCTCCATCATCTGTGAGTGGGTCAATGGGGCGGGTATGGCTATCACAATGATTTTGGCTTGACAGCTCTGGCGTCTCACCGGCTGCCCGGGCCAGTGCGAGACGGGATGCCTGTTTAAGGTGTCGTGTGGGATGCGGTGATGGTGTGGCAGGTACCCGGGTCCGAGACCCACATGTCCATGGCCGGGCGCACTAATCGCTACACCGTCGCCGATCCGCGGTAACGTCGCAACCGTCTGCACGATCGGTAGATAGGTTTGTTGGTTCGAACGGCAGGAGGGGCAGGGAGCGTGAGGGTCTTGCCGAAAGAGGCAGGCAGTCCATTCGCCTTTCTGCAGCCACAGGAGCCGTTTATGAATCAGTCGAGTCTCAGTGGACCCCGTCTGTACCCTCCGCCACCGAGTTTCTGGCGACGGCGCCTCACCGCGGTCCGTCCGCCGGCAGCCACCGTCTTCGAGAACCACCTGGCGATCGTGATCGACAGCTTCCAAGACTCGATCAAGTGTCTGTCGGAGTTCGCGTGCAATGCACAGTTCCCGGACACCAGCATGGAGGCGATCCGGCTGATCCGCAGCTGCGCCCGCTACGTGGCCGACTCGCCCCACCTCTTCCGCGACCACAACATCGAGGACAAGACCATCCCCGAGGAGGACCGCGTGTGGGTGCGCGCCTGGTTCCCGATCATGTTCGAGCTTTCCTGCATCGTCAACAGGTGAGCGTCGCGCGCGGGTCCGCCTTCCGGAAACAGTTGGCGCGTGTGAATTTGTTCATAGCGCTCGTGTTCTGTCGTAAGCATTACTCGTACCCTGGTCGACTGACCGTACCTCGACTCCCACCTCATCTTCTGAATGGCTCACTGTGTCCCGTTTCTCACCCCTGGTACAAAGTAATGTTGGTGGTGCAGCTGGCCGTGGCGTCGGTCTTCAGGCCGCTGGATCTGGGATGGAGTTGAGCAGCGTTATCACGGCCTTAAGCCGTGTGATACGCTGTCATTACCAGCGGTAGCGCCAGCCGTCTGCGTTATGTGGTCCGGTGAGCGTCACTTCCCGCTGTCATCAGGTGCAAGCTGGACGTGCGCACGCGCGCGCTGACAGTCATGTTCGAGATCATCAAGACGTACGGCATGACGTACCGTCAGCACTGGTGGAAGGACCTCTTCCAGATCCTCTTCCGCATCTTCGATAACATGAAGCTGCCTGAGCAACAGTCAGAGGTAGAGGGCTTGGTTCCCAGATTTTGGTGTGGCCGGCTGCGCCTTTCCGTTGTGTTTGTGGAGAACTGGCTGCTGCTGCTTTCGTGCTACCTCGTGCTAGGTGCTACTTTAGCAATTTCGTTTGGCTGCTAGATAATGGATGGATGGTGGTGTCTGCTTTAAGTTGTGACTTTCGTTGCGCGTGATTGCTTTACACCCCTTTTGAGTCCGTTTGTATTCGTCTTGCACTTGAGGAACCAGTATTTAACTTGTAAACTTGTGTATGCGTTTCAAAGTAGGGTATGTTGTATTGCTGTCATCATCAAAAGCCGCTAACGTGTAAAGTAAAGAGGCGGGGCGTGGTAAATTGTCCATTCGTGGATTCAGAAGCGAATATTCGGACGAATTACTGATCGCAGCGAATTTCCATGTCTTACCCTACTGAGACCGTAATTGTTTTGTTTAGCTTTTTCTCGCACATGGGTTTGTGAGTGGGCACTGGTTTTCGGGGCCATGGGGGAATTTGTTCTATTACGCGCCGTGTTCGGCCCCGTTGTCGTTCGGCTCTCCGGACCTGCTATTCTGTTCGCGCTCCCCATCGTCCAGGGCGGCTCAGGCAGTGACAGTAACCAATCGCACTCATACTCTTAACTCCAACCGCATTCTGAACGCATGGCTGCAGAATGCGGTCCGATAACAAGGCGCGAAGAAAATGTACGCTCTCGTTGTACAAAGCTCACCATGTCGCAACAATTATCGGCTTCGTTGAGATAATATTGCGGTACAGATTCTTCAAAAGCGGTCGGGATCGGGCCGTCTCTCTGCGTTCCAGTTCACAACAGATCAAGTTTGGGCCGCCTTGGACAGGGCACACCTGTTTCTTTGAGCGTCAGCGGGCTGGTCAAGCTGGGCCTTGGTACTGGCCCCGATGGCTCAGCCGCCCTGTCTGATTCCGTTCTCTTCTGTTTAACAGATTTTCGTGCATCCCGACAACCAGCTGGATGTTAGTACTCGTCGCTTGTTTTGTTTGGGGCCTACGGCTCGTGGTGCACTAGCATCTGGTTCTCGCTCCCCGCTCCCCAATCTGAGCAATTCCGTTTCGCTCCCCTCGATTCCATTCCACACCACTTTCTTCATTTCACTTCACTTCACTGCAGCTCACTCCACCCCGTTCCGTCTCATAACCTCCATCGTTTCTCATCTTCCCTCTCAGCTCATTATTGTCATCCTGCTGTCCATGCTCCACAGCTTCAATAATCTCTGCCGCACTCCCTCTTGCCCCGGCCTGACTTCTCTCCGATTTTTCGTTTCCGCGCCGCCAGTCGGTTCTTGTTGCAACTTGTTTTGTTGGTTTCTTGCTAAGTATGCTTGCTTTTTCTCCTGTCATTGTCATTTTTGTTTTGTTTAAACATATCCTTTTTAGTTACGTCCCTGTTTGCAGTTTTCCTCGTTGCTTGGGCTGGTTGGTCTGTCTAACATAATTTTTCAGATTGCTAATATGTAGCGATATTAATGTCCTGTTTATCCTGTTGTCATCATTTTTTTAACTAATGGTATGCACTAAGGGGCTTCTTGGTAACATGTACAAGCATTATGCATATAAGTTGTGTGACCCATCTGCGGTCAGTACCCGACCGCTGCCTCGCGTAAAAGGGAATGGCATGGCCCCGCCCCGTTCCATGCAGCCACCGGCCGTGGGCGCTGACTGGGGTCGCCCTCGGAGCTGGCGCTAACACGCGTCTGTGTGGGCGGCGCCGTTGCAGAAGGCCGAGTGGATGACGACCACGTGCAACCACGCGTTGTACGCCATCATCGACGTGTTCACCCAGTACCACGACACGCTGCAGCCCATTCTGCTGGAGCCGCTGTACTCCCAGCTGCACTGGTGTGTCCGGCAAGGTGAGCACACTGGCACAGAGCGACGTGCCGCCGGGGCTGGGGCAGAGCGGTGCATGGCTTGGCCGCGGCACAAGCCAGCAGCCGGCCAGGACTGCGGCGCCGTTGTGTCGGCCACCCAGTTATGACGGAGAAAGTCATGTCCAAAAAGGCCCCAGAGGTACGGGGTTCGGTTCCCCGCGGTGCCCGCCCTTCCTGCCAGGGTGAGAGGCAGGCGACGCCATGTAGCCTCAGCAGCTGAGTGCGTCGTAAAGCCCCACTGACTCAATGACACAAAAAGGCTCCAGGAATCTGAGGGTTGCTCGAGGTTTTGCATTGTGGTGTTGCGTTTCTTTTCAGGAGGTCATGCTGACCGAAAAATGGCAGGCTTTCACGGTTTCAGTCAAACTAAATCCTACGAACTCCACAGAATAGTGATATGCGTGGGTGATGGGTATGTTCATAGTGGAAGATCGCCACGTGGGAGCGTAACACACATCACTGACGGTGCCGCCCCAGCGCTGTTCAGAGGCTGAGAGTGTACGACACATCACTGACGCTCCCGCCCCAGCGCTGCTCAGAGGCTGAGCGTGTACCACATGTCACGGACGGTCCCGCCCAGCGCTGCTCCGAGGCTGCGAGTATACCACACATCACTGACGCTCCCGCCCCAGCGCTGTTCAGAGTCTGCGAGTGTACCACACATCACTGACGCTCCCGCCCCAGCGCTGTTCAGAGGCTGAGAGCGTACAACACATCACTGACGCTCCCGCCCCAGCGCTGTTCAGAGACTGCGAGTGTACCACACATCACTGATGCTCCCGCCCCAGCGCTGTTCAGAGGCTGAGAGCGTACAACACATCACTGACGCTCCCGCCCCAGCGCTGTTCAGAGACTGCGAGCGTACCACACATCGCTGACGCTCCCGCCCCAGCGCTGTTCAGAGACTGCGAGTGTACCACACATCACTGACGCTCCCGCCCCAGCGCTGTTCAGAGGCTGAGAGCGTACAACACATCACTGACGCTCCCGCCCCAGCGCTGTTCAGAGACTGCGAGTGTACCATACATCGCTGACGCCTCCGCCCCAGCGCTGTTCAGAGACTGCGAGTGTACCACACATCACTGATGCTCCCGCCCCAGCGCTGTTCAGAGGCTGAGAGCGTACAACACATCACTGACGCTCCCACCCCAGCGCTGTTCAGAGGCTGCGAGCGTACCACACATGACCGACGGTCCTGGCCCAGCGCTGTTCGGAGGCTGAGAGCGTACCACACATGACCGACGGTCCCGGCCCAGCGCTGTTCAGAGGCTGCGAGCGTACCACACATGACCGACGGTCCCGGCCCAGCGCTGTTCAGAGGCTGCGAGCGTACAACACATCACTGACGGTCATGCCCCAGCGCTGCTCGGAGGCTGAGCGCGTACCACACATCACTGACGGTCCCGCCCCAGCGCTGTTCAGAGACGGGGCCGTTGGTGCGCCCCGGCCGCCGTGTGTTGTGTGTGGTCCGCGCGCGAGCTGGCGGCGTCCAGCCGTCCTCCGCAAGGCAGGCCTCACTGACCTGCGGCCGCCGTCACAGACAACGAGCAGCTGGCCCGCTCCGGCACCAACTGCCTGGAGAACCTGGTGATCTCGAACGGCGTCAAGTTCCGGCCGGAGACCTGGGACCAGACGTGCGCCTGCATGCTGGACATCTTCAACTCGACCATCCCGCACCAACTGCTCACCTGGCGGCCGGGCAAGCCCGGGGACGCGGCCGCCGAGCCCAAGGTCAGGGGCGCCACGCTGCGCCGCAAGGCTTGCGTGACCAACGCCAGAGCATGTTAAAGACTGGTGCTGGGCGTATTGGCGCTGCTGTAGTTGGCGTCAATATGTGCGGAAGGCTGGCGCTGTAGCTTGTCCAAGCCGAGCGCCGTGGCGCGGTGTAAGTGGGCGCCGTTACGAGCGGTTGGTTGCTTGTGTGATGCGGCGCGCGCGCGTGTGTTGACGCCGCCGGCCCGCTGTCTGCCAGAGCCCGCTGGAGCCCCCGGCTGAGATCATGAGCCGGGCCGACAGCATGCACAGCATCAACAGCATTGGCTCCTACAGCAACGACGACAAGAACAGGAAGATCATGAAGATGAAGGTGCGTCGCCCGTCGTGGCGTGGTATTGAGTTGGGTGCGGCTGGCTGGTAACTGAGCACCCGCTATGTGTAGGGTTCGTCAGGCGGTGCGTCGCGATGGCTTTGTCGCTGCGGCTTAGAGAGTGAAGCTAAAGCTACAGACGTTCAACCGTTGAATGCCGTGAAGTCGGGTCTTTTCACGTATTCCTTAGATGTCAGTTAGCGATACCACATATTTACTAATACGCCCAGTTATAGCTTCAGTTGCCTGTTCAAATGTTCTTCAAATAGCTTGCGACGCCCCCCCCCCCCCCCCTGCCCCTTCTGACCGAGACGGTGGGCCGGCCAGGTGCACCAGGACCACGATCTATTCGCCAGCCTGCTGATCCGCTGCGTGGTCCAGCTGGAGCTGATCCAGACCATCGACAACATCGTCTTCTTCCCCACCACCTCGCGCAAGGAGGACGCCGAGAACCTGGCGCTGGCGCAGGCCGAGGCGCTGCGCCAGCGTCTCTCGGACGACGCCCAGCAGCGCGAGGACCAGGGCATGTACCCCTACCTTAGCGCCGGACAACTGTTCCAGCTGATCGACTGCCTCATGCAGAGCCACCGCTTCGCCAAGAGGTTCAACGCAGACCACGATCAGCGCAATCTGCTCTGGCGGGCAGGTGAGTGGCGGTGTGAGGGGTGGCAGGTGGCGGTGTGAGGGGTGACAGGTAGCAGTGTTAGGGGTGACAGGTGGCGGTGTGAGAGGTGACAAGTGGCGGTGTGGGGGGTGACAGGTGGGTTTGGCTCGCTGGACCGATTTGACCTGGTTCAGGGTCCGCGGCGGAATGGTCCAGGCCGGTCTTGCGCCGGGTTAAGTGTGGTTTTAGGCTTGTGGTCTTCGTTCGGGTTGTCTTAGGGTATGGATCCGGGTAAGGAAAATATGAGGCAGTGCAAAATTAGTGTAAAATGGGCTTAGCAGCCGATGCGTTTCACAATACCAATTGATTGTCATGAGATGACAGCCCGAGGGTCTCAAGGGTCTATCAGGGTCTCAATGGGCATCCTCGGGTTGCACACCGGGTCAGGCGGGCTGGCGATAGTCCGGGCTGGCCGGGCCAGTTTATGGTTGTGTGGGGCTGCTTGAGGCTGCCTTCAGGCTGACTTGTAGGCGTCGTAAAATAGCCGAGAGGCTAGGATCTGCTAGCTGACATCATGTAACATGCCATTTAATTTTGCAGCAGCCGATTCAGGTAAGCGACAAAAACCTCCGCCTGATTGTTGCCTGCGTTGCTGTCACCCGGCAAACTGGCCTTTGTCGCCGATGCCCCTCCGCATGGCTGCTATGAGCCGAACAGCCTCGAGACGCGCGCGCGCTCACCACCAGTCACACCGAATCGGACGTCGATCACCGCGCGGCTGTCTCTGACCGGCCCGTCCTCCGGCAGGCTTCAAGGGCAACGCCAAGCCGAACCTGCTGAAGCAGGAGACGCAGAGCCTGGCGTGCGCGCTGCGCATCCTGTTCCGGCTGTACGCCGACGAGCAACGGCGGCCCGGCTGGCCGCAGGTGGAGCAGCGGCTGATCGCCACGTGCCGCGAGGCGCTCGAGTACTACCTGTCGCTGCAGTCGGAGGCGCACCGCGACGCCTGGGTGGCGCTGCTGCTGCTCTTCCTCACGCGCGTCCAGAAGATGGACGATGAGCGGGTGAGTGGCGGCGGGCTGGGCGCGGCGGCGCGCTGCTGTGAGGGATTTCGGGGGTCGCTACTGCTCGTGGGCGGCGGGCATCTCCTGCTGAGAGCGCCGATACGCTCTCGCTCGGCCGCGAGGGTGCGCTGGCATGCACACGGCTGTCTTCGAGAGGGCAGTTGTTGCGCTGTCGTCGCTGGAGCGCTCAACAGTGTATGTCATGCTTTCGAACGAACCTATTAATCTGTGAAATATTAAGTAGCGCCCGCTATCTGTCGGCCGTTCAGTTTCTCTGCCTTTGTCGTCATGGCGATGCCGGTGATGTTTGCGTGAGATGCTCGTGCAGGCTCTCGCCCCTGACACGGCCTTGTCTGCTTGCCGCAGTTCCGGGCGCACGCCTCCAACTACTACCCACTGCTCTGCGAGGTCATGTGCTTCGACCTGAAGCCCGAGCTGCGCGCCGTGCTGCGCAAATTCTTCCTGCGCATCGGACCCGTGTTCGGCATCACCCCGCCGGCGACCACGTGACTGGCCGCAGCCAGTCAGCGGTAGCGAGCGGCGAGGGACGCTTCTGATTGGCCGGCGGGCCTGGCGCCGGAAGTCGCGGGACGCTGAGCTTGGCGTCGGGAGAGGCTGGAGAACGCCTGTGATTGGTTGTAGCCACAGAACTGAGCGCATCGCCAGATGGCGGTGGGCACGCGTGTGATTACGTCACCTGTACATACCTAAATATCCCCGATAGTGCCTGAGAAAGTCAGATACGGCGTCCATTTGACGGGGTTCAAATGATTATGTTTATGTTGATTATACTGGTGATTATGCTGGTGGGGTCGCCAGTCGCGTGATGCCCGGCCATCGTTAGTTGATTCAGTGGACGGTATTTATTGGTCGTGCGGGCGGGCGAATAGTCGGTAGCGCTCCGTCCAGTTACGGCCGGCCAGCGACCCCGCGCCGCCGGCCCGACAGCGTCCAGGACATCGTGCAATGTTGCCTTCAGCGAATAGTGTTGTTATCTCGGCACGTGACACGCACGTGCACTGACGCGAGGGCCGCCGCAGTTCGAACAAAGTGCGTGCCCCACCGGTGCTGCCAGCTGTTCCGGGGGAGGGGGGGGGGGGGGGGGGCGAGACCCGCCACCTCCCGGACGCTCCTGGACGGCACGCTCCGCCGGCCGAGCCGGCTCGCCCGGTCGTCGCCGGTCGTCCGTCGCTGGTCATGACAGGCGGCGTCCAGCGTCGTCCGCGGCGCACGGCGCACGGCGCCGGCCCGGCGTAGGGTCTGTGTCTCACCCCGTCTGTCCGCGTCGGCCGGACCTCTGGCGTAGGTCTGACCCCTGGCGACGTCTGGCCGTGACAAACAGGGCATGCGGACGGGTCCACACATCGAGAGCAGGCACGAGCGCCAGCTGCTGCGTGTGCTGTACAGGATGCCTTATAGCCTGGTATCGCATCACTCTCCGTTAAACACATGGTAGACGTGGGGTACGCGTACAAGTCGCTATCGAAACCGGCGAGGCACGCGTACGGTGACCCGGTTGTCCCGTCTTCATCTGACCGATGTAGCCGCGGGCCTGTGAGCCGGCGAGCGTGTCCGGTCCCCGCTGTGGCCGCCATGTGTGCCGCCTCACCTCGCTCGCGATCGTGACGCGTCCGACCGGTGCCCCTTGCCGAGGAGGGCTGCCCTCCGTGGGGCGCCGGTCGACGGTCCGGCGCTGCTCGGCGTGCGCCCCGCAGCCGGCCAAGGCCTGGACGAAGAGTGTCCAGCCCGGCGGCCGGGAAGACGAGCGATGCGGCGGCGCTCCGAACATTCCTCCGTAGCGGGTAACCGGTGGATCACGTGTGGGCGGAGATCGTTGGCGGCACGTGCCGGGTACGAAGGAAATAAAATCATCCAATCGTATGTGTTCGCGCGTGCTTGTGGAGCGGACGCTTGCCGCCAGTGGGGCTTTGGGATGAAGCGTATCCGGCCATCTCCAGTCACGTCAGGAGTTCAACAAAACAGAACAGACGTCCAACAGTAGTCAGCAGTCCAACAGAAGTCAGTCAGTAAACAGTCGGCTTCGATTCGCGGCGATAACGAGGGATTACGGCACGTCGGTCGGCGTGGTTGTTGGAACGGCTCTCCGTGATTTCACTGGATATTCGCTACTGATCCCGACTTAACGTGGATATGATCTCGCCAACTCACGTCATAAGCTTTTCGTTAGCCTTTGACAGGCAGGCACGCCGCTGTTCGCGATATGATTAAAGTACGGCGGATTGCCGTGCCAGCAGCGTCGGGTAGAAATATCCTTCGCTATTGATTGCGCGTGGCCAGACTCCGCGCGATCAAAAATGTTTGTTTTTCTCCAGTGCTGCCGGATGCTGGCCACCAGGCTACAAGCCGTCAGACCTCATCCAGTGATGCCCTGCCGGGTGGCATATGTACAAATGAGCGCTGTTCACCGACAATCGATTGACGTGGCCGGCAGACAGCGCTTCCACAGTGTTATCGTGTGCACGAGCGCACGGTTGCTCGCACCGCGCACCAAGGGATCAGCCGAGTAAAATAGATGCTCTGTGTCAGATCAACAAAGTAGGGGATGTAATACAATGGATGAGTGTCAGATTAACAAAACAGGTGATGGCCGACGGCCGATTTACATTAACGATCGGTAGGGATCCTGCAATGACATCGTGTGACTTAGAACCGATAATCCCGAGATTCCGGGGCTGTATAAATATCGAATCACGGGTGTAGAGGTCTAGTTAGTAAAGTCATGGGGCTAGTAGTCCCGTGATTTCGGAATTCCATGATATTTACCCATACAAGGGCATCGTTTAAAAAGCGTCACTGGTAGCACGTGTAAAACAGCATAGAAGCTAGCAATAGTTAATACGCAATAATAAAGAATTCGTTTGGCATATGTCCAAAATTCATTTTCCACGTCGTGAATTAACGTAAAAGCCAGTCGCGTTCTGCAACTGTGAGTAAACTCGGCATCGTTTCACACCGCGTCGGGCTCCGACCTCGAACTTCTCTCTGGCGCGGAGCGCGCCGTCTCCTCACCACGCACACGGCCCACAGTACAGAACGGAGCGCCGTCTACCCGCTACAGAGCGTCGGCTTACGCACCGTCTCCTCACCACGCACACGGCCCACAGTACAGAACGGAGCGCCGTCTACCCGCTACAGAGCGTCGGCTTACGCGCCGTCTCCTCACCACGCACACGGCCCACAGTACAGAACGGAGCGCCGTCTACCCGCTACAGAGCGTCGGCTTACGCACCGTCTCCTCAGGCACAACAGCTCACAGCACCCGAGGGCGTGCGATATTGAGCAGGTTGGGCATCGTGTTTGTGAACGAACATGCCTTTTGGCCCAGTTACTGCCAGCGCCTCGTGGCTAAGTGACCCAGGAGGTCGTCCGGGCACCCTGGAGCATCTCTAGTGAATTGTGTGCATTTTTGAGTAGCCAACGCTGCTAAGCACGTCCGACTTCGTGGGCTTGAAAGAAAGCGCAGTGTACGACGCTCTCTAAGCAGTCAGGGTGGCAACACAGCGAAGTGTCAGAGCGCCCGCTGCGCGAATAACCGTCACACCCGCCGGCAGGGTGTCAACCCAATAAAATGTGTACCTTGTGCCGACAGTCAGCTTCCAGCGCCAGCTGGTAGCCCTAAGGCATTGTTATGAAATGCACACGTCTGCATATTTCACGCGCGATTGTTATCATTGTTTCCGGTGTTGCCGGATGTTAATCATTATGCATTTAGTCACCTGTGGCAAGCGGTATGTGGCATTCATTAATGCGCCGTCTAGAGGACAAGTGTGCGAAATAAGCGTTGTCCACCAACGTCTAATTTACGTTGCTGACTAGCAGCGCTCCCACAGTGCCGTGGTGTGCACACGTTAGCACCCAACGCACACAAAAATAACTTATAATTTTAATTGGCCGTCGTGAGTATGCAAATGGCCACCCCATGCTGTACCGTCATCGCCATTAAGAGACGCTTTGCCAGGTGATCAACGCAATGACAGGGTTTTAGTCCGGCAAGAACTATGTCCAGTGTTTTCTAATAGCCGTTCGGCAGTGCTTTCTAATCCACACTGCCGCACTCTTCCCGCTCGATTATAAATATTGTTCTGGGCTGCGGTTTTTCTCAAAACGACACCAGTCGTCCGCTTTCTGCAAAGTATCGTTAAATGGTCAGATGAACAGGATGTTTGTTGCCCGCCGACGACCAACTGACGTTGCTGGCAGATAGTGCTCCCACGAAGCTGTCGTGTGCACATAGCCGCACCTGCCGCGCACCTTATTAACACCAGTGTTTGCCGCGTATGCTGTGCATTTGAATATGTGTTCGTGTACTTGTGCAAAATATTTTGTTGTGCTCAGTGAACCCAGAGGGATGCTTTAACAAGTCATATTTCGAATATCTAAAAGGCAAGAGCTACTTGAAACCATGTCGTAGGCTGTGTTAAGTGTAAGCTCGTAAGCTCTTACATGTTCGACGGAGACCAGTGGTCGAAATGTCACATTTGATTTAACGTTGATCCTGCCTTTTCCGACATATGTACCAGAATTGCGGACAAATGATCAGTGACTTTATTATTAAAATGTTCTTCGCAACAGCGCTGGAACAAGAAGCCTTCCTTGAAGTTTCGACTCACAGATGCAATGACCTGTAGTCGACACGCCACCTGATGGTCTCAGGTCATCTATGCGTCCGGCGTTGGTCTGAAGTTACGAGTCCAGTCCGGTGGCTACGGCCAGCTCCCAGCTAAACAGATCCTGTGGCGCCGCTATCCCCCGATAGCCTGTGGACGTCCACTCCTGCACACGTTTTGGCTCCTGATGACTTGAGCCTCAGACCGAGGCCGAGACTTCCGGGTCCTCTGGACTCATGACCGTGTGCCAGGGCACCACTCTCGCGGTCTGTACAGGTCACCACTGTCCTCTGTGTCCGTCTCAGTTCATCACTCCTCCGTGCTCGTCTCAGGTTATCACTCCTACGTGCCCGTCTTCAGCTCATCACTACTCCGTACTCGTCTCAGGTTATCACTCCTCCGTGCCCGTCTCAGCTCATCACTCCTCGGTGCTCGTCTCAGGTTATCACTCCTACGTGCCCGTCTCAGCTCATCACTCCTCCGTGCTCGTCTCAGGTTATCACTCCTACGTGCCCGTCTCAGCTCATCACTCCTCCGTGCTCGTCTCAGGTTATCACTCCCACGTGCCCGTCTCAGCTCATCACTCCTCCGTGCTCGTCTCAGGTCATCACTCCTCCGTACCCGTCTCAGTCCATTACTTCTCCATGCTCGTCTCAGCTCATCAACCCTCCAGGTCCGTCACCCGGGCACCACTCTCTCGTGCCCGTCTCAGGTTATCACTCCTCCCTGCCCCGTCTCAGGTTATCACTCCTCTACGCTCAGTCTCAGGTCATCCCTCCTCCGTGCCCGTCTCAGTTCATCCCTCCTCGTGTCCACCTCAGATCACCGGAGTCAGGTAGGCCGGCACCCGGCCCAGTCTTCCCCAGAGCCGCACCGGCCGAGCGGCGGCCGCTTCTGCGCTGCTGGTGCGGCGGCGCCCTCCGTCGGCACGGCCGCGGCGGCCGGCGGCTCAGTGGCAGTACCGCGGCGGAGCTGGCCGCGGGAGGAGGTGGACGCATCGGTCGGGTCGCGGGGAGGCGGTGACGCGACCGGCCGGCGAGAGGGACGGAGCCCGTCCAGGTGAGAGGTGCTCGGTGGCGTACCGCAGAGGCCGGGCCGGTGTGCTGCAGTCAGAAGGGTGTTCATCTCCGCGACGGACTGAATATTTTCCAGACAGGTAACCGGCCTAAACGGCAGGAGCATGCGGTTTTCCCGCGTATGGAGCTGCGTTTGATATTGATGTTGGCTGAATGTGCTACATGCAGTAGTTTGGGCTACAGACAGTAGCAGCCGTGGGCCGGCCACTGTACCCTGTACAGCTCTCTCCGATAAAAGCGGAGTGTTGTTACCGGGACAGTCTTCCGTAAGAACCGATTTACTTCAGGTGGTGCGGTGATGCTCGCAGCCATGCAACACGGACTCAAATCCAATCCTGGCTTCGTTTGTGACGGTCGAAGCAGTGTAGAACGCTTCTGTGCGCCCCCAAAAACAAACATTATGATACACTATGACCAATAGGGTCGATATATGATGAAATAAAATATTATAAAATATCAATACATAATGGAGTCCCAATAGGATTGAAACCATAATCTTAAAGCAGGTTAATGTCAAAAATCCAAAATATATGCCTATATCAAGGAGGCTATAGCCTTCCCGCCCCATTGCGTTAGCGAGATGTGCTCCTTCCTGTGCCATTGTCCTAAGATTTGATTAGTTAGTAAACCGATTTCGCTAGGATTCGGAGCAGAAAGTGCTATGATACAGTGAACAGCCCTCATTTCGTTGTGCTTACCTTGTTGAGGTGTCGCATAGTCCAGTAAGCACATTTACTGAACGGAGAAATTGTGTCGTCTGCGGGTTTTTTTTTTTACTTGAAACGGTTTTTCTAGTGAAAGAATGCTAGTAGGTATAAGGTACAAGTGAGATTGTTTCGTCATTTCTGGTGCTTGCTTAAAATCCCCAAATGTAAAGCATTCCCTGTAAAGGGACTGTCCCACCTTTAGGAAATATAAAAAAACGTACGCCGGTGAAATCTCGGGACTAGTTACGTGTAATAAAAACACCGGGTAGCGCCACTGAAGCTGCAACCTGTGGTTACCGCCATTCATAGGGCAAGAATCAAAGCCATATGATAGCATTTCGTTGTTCACATATCTTTTTGTCTAAACAGAGTGTTTCAAACTTTCATAGAACTTATTACACAAACATCTTGACACATTAGTGCGATTGCAGAACACGCACGTTGGAAAAGGCGAGGCATGTGGAACTTTGATGGTAGTTAGCAGAGAGTTAAAACGCGTGCTTGGGTGGAGTCATTTTGACCCTCCGAAGGTTTTTCCGGAATGGTTTCTGAACGGTGCAGCGTATCTGGGCCAAATATTGCCACTGCAATAGATAACTGAATAACAGATCGCTTGATATGGAAAAAATATTAATGTACCTCGTAAGGTCATTAATCTGCCACGGGTCAAAGTCAAGCCATATATTTAGAAAATATATCTTCTTCTGGGATCGCTCAATCTGATGCAACAACGGTGCGATAGACGAGGCCATGCAACTCTAAGATAGCTCCTTGGGAAACGCAACAGTTGAATGAACAAATTGAATTGACCTAAGGTCAGGTATGAAAGTCAGAGCAAGGCCAAAACCAACCTGTTTCATTACTCTAGAGCTTGCCTGTACTGGATAGATTATGGTGCTCATTTTGAATTTATTAATAACAGGAACCGCATATACATGTGCCATGGAATTTTTAAAGGTTAGGATAGGTCACTGACCTAAATGACCCAGGTCAGCATTTTTTTTCGGAACGTACCGCCTAACACAAACTTCATCACTTATTCAAATGCAAAACTCAGCGCAGCCTTGTATAATTTTCTGCACCATCACCTGAAAAAGGTCAAACTAGGCCATTGACCTTAAATGGGCACCAGTGGCTCTTTGTCAGAACCGGTATCTAGATTTTTAGGCGCCTTGGACACAAATTTGGAGTTTGACCCGAAGCTCATGGTTTAAGAACCTCAAATTATAACACAATTGAGCTCATATACAAGCCAACAACCTTGTGAATTTGGTTGTCTGTTAATCGTTGAGATCTTAGTGGGGTCAAATTGATCTCTACCCGAGCGAACGGGATTCAACCGGCCACCCGGGCGCGTGTGAAACCGTACTTGTCCATGCTTAGCTCATTACGCTGCCCATGCGCCTGCCGCGACAATTACATGGCTGGTCTGTGTCCTCTGGTGGCTCTCGAGGTGAACAGGTGAGAGAGGCGTTCATGTTTATCTACAAATATGTGTGCCTAATACATGCTGCATGAGATTCGAAGCCGCCGGTGTCAATATTCAGCGTCGCATTCTGTGACAAGAGCTGGGGTAAACCAGAGATAAGTTCACTCAGTCTGGAATTGATTAGTGAGAAAAGTGACATGCGATTTCATGTTTAAATCGCCGACCTTCAATCCGCCAGAAGGTTCTGGATAAACGAGGATGCGTGAGGCAAATATTATGACGTATTATGGGATTAGTCGACGCGTCAAGGCAGCGTTCATAGTAGCGAGCGGATCAAATTAATTATTTTTAATGAATTATGTTTCTTAATTTGAACACAAATTAAGAAACAAAACCCAGGCGCTTGACAGACGAAAAATGTTTTGAATCTGTACGGGACGCTCAGGGTGAAGTCTGTGCTGTTTTGTGGTTAAGGATGAGCATGGCCCTTTCTTCAGCATTCCTCAGTTTCGGGTGTTGTTCTCTAAAATGGGTCATTTGGTGCATGACATCTCCAATAATAGGGTTGCCACTTGATAACATCAAGAAATGTCTCGAGCTGCTGGTGCAGACTTCATCTATCTTTCTAAGCAGAACGTTTAGGCAGTAGCTCAGGCAGGGGAGCACAGGGGGCGCGTGCCCCCCCCCCCCCCCTTTAGGTTCCGAGAAACTTCGGACCCCTCGGAGCCTATAGTTAAGGGCCTGATTTGAGGGACCAAAGGCCAGCCGAGGTCGCATCCAGGGACCCCCGGTCTACGGAGACGGACCCCCAAATCACAGTCAGAGGGTCCTTTGGGACGAGCGGGGACTCCTGAGTCGATATGGGCCTATGTGTCGATTGACCACCACCAGCACCGTACAGTCGTCTCATGTCGGTATGGGCCCCGAGAGCCCATTTCCCAATCACTTATAAAGCCGAGGCCAGTGATTTACACTGGTCGGGGCCCCCCGTATTGGCCCTTCAGCCCTTCACCGGGAGTAATAATGTGTCCCGTAGTGTTCTTCTCAAGGGGGCCCTTTATTGAAAAGAAATATGGTGTCTCATAAGTTTTGGACAGAGTGTGTTGAAATGAGTTCAAAATCGCACAATGTCACCCCATGTTGCCTGAAAACGTCCATTCTTTGGCAGAATCGCCTAGTGCAACAAATTACATCAAACGGTTTGAGCCTTGGTGCTCGAAATCTCGGGAACACGGACAACGATGGTCTGGGTTGCAGTTTTCGTAAAACCGAACGGAACTGCATGCAGCGCCAGGTGGCGAATGTCGTGCGCGCAACAGTAACCATCTTAAAATAATGTTTCTGAACGCCTTTCAAAATTGATTAGTCAAGTTCGAGGATAAGGCTTGGTTTACTCTTTTGAATCTTTGAGGATGTTCTCTGGACATATTACAGCTACAGCAAGATGAACAATAGAGATTTTGTCTTTACTCTTCCAGTTCCTTTGCCAGCTTTCAGCCCACCGCGAAGTGGTGCTGGAAAGACCAATCCGTTGGTATTATCAATCGAAAAGTCACTCAGGTAGAATATATGTCAGCAATATCTTCTAAAATGCCCGATTTTGCGTCTTGAAGCGTTCAAACGTACTTCTTTTCAGATACGTCAGCATTTTTGTCCACCTGTTGGCCACGGCTCAGTGTCAACCACGGGGCCGACTCTGTGCAGCCAGCGGAGAGTGCAACGCCTGGCGTGGAGGTTTTGTTGGCTAAGATGGGCGAGTGCACATGCTCACAACTACGTTTAAGTTGTATCACTGATCGATTCTGACTGAATGTTTGAACATTTCCAGACAAACATGACGTGGCCATGTCAATATAGATTGTTGACCCATGTTTATCTTCAGTCTAAAATCGCAGGGTCTATTATATCTCTTACAACCCAGATACTACTTCTAACGAAGTTTCTGAGCCCAGAAGGCTTAAAAAGAGTTCACTAGACTATTGTAACCTGAAGAGCGCGGGGCGATTTGTTTTATGTGGTCGTTTAATACATGACTTATGTAGTTATTGGCTATACTTTCAGCAGTGTTGGTCCGCGGTTAGTTCTGGCTTCTTTCCCAGCAATAGAATGTAAAAATGAAAAAATTTCAAAGACAATATTCCGGATTCACAAATGGGACATATCCGGCATTTTTTGGGGGGCCCTCTACTATCAGGGGTCCCTTTGTAAACCCTGTGTCTCCCCCCCCCTTGGCAAGGCTCTGGCTGCGCGCCTTTGTCTAGCTATATCAAAGGTCGGTTATTTTCAGCTCAGATCTCATAATGTAAGAAAAGAGCAGCAGCTGAGGGCCTTGTTGTTTCTGTCAAGTAAACAGCCATGAATTCACGGCTGACACGTTATAGCGAGAGATAAACTGCTGTCAATGCTTATCTGCCAGACGTGGCCAGCCGCGGTGAGAATCACCATCGAACCTGGAGCGTCCCACGTAAACGTCCGATCACCTTAGCGAACTGGTCCAGCTCCGTCCCTATCGGGCGTACTGACCCGACGCGTCCCACGTGAACGTCCGGTCACCCCAGCGATCCTGGTCCAAATCTGACCCTATCGCTGTACTGGCCCACCACGTCCGTGAGGACGCCGAGCGAGCCAAGCCCATGTCGGACGCAGTGTGAGGAGCTGCTGGTCGGACGTCATAGGCTTTCATCGTGAAATTTTAAGCCGTAATCGCTACTGTCAGTGCGCTTCAAGACGCTTCAACATTCGAACAATCGGCGGTTAATGGCCATGTTCCGCCCGTTTCTTAGCTATCATCTGCAACGAGCTGGTACCCCGGATTGCAGCCAATTGCCACTCGGTTTTCATTAAAGC